TCTCTGGGCCCAAGCTCATTTAAAATGGACTGAGGTGAAGTAGAAAAGTGTCCTGTGGTCTGACAAATCAACATTTGAAATTCTTTTTGGAAATCATGGACACTGTGTCCTCCGGGCTATAGACGACTCAGCTCGTTATCAGTGCACAGTTCAAAAGCCAGTATTCATAATTGTATAGGGATGCATTAGTGCACATGGCATGGGTGATGTGCACATCTGTGAAGGCACCATTAATGCTGAATAATATATATACCTGTTTTGGCAACATATGCTGCCATCCAGACGACATCTTTTTCAGGGAAGGCCTTGCTTATTTCAGCAAGACAATGCCAAACCACATTCTGCATGTATCACAACAGCATTGCTTCATGTTAAAAGAGTCCGGGTGCTAAACTGGCTTGCCTGCAGTCCAGACCTGTCACCCCATCTTTTGTGTGATGCATGCAGTTGTTCGATGTTCTTGATGTAACTGACAATACCTATGATATACTCAGAAAAGCATATTGCAGTGTAACTCTTCACTATAATGATAACAGCATATCATACTGTCCATCCCTAACACACAGAAAAAGACAGCATCTCAGACCAAATCAGTTACTGGTCAGTCAACAATAGAATGAGTAATTCTACAATATTATGATAACCTCCAAAAAGCATAAGCAGTACATAAAAAGTGAAATACATCATGTCCCTAATTATCCATACTGAAAGCAATTTGAATTCAACTGTAAGAAATTCAAATATGACTAAAAAGTGGCATTTCTAACTGTATCTTTATCAAAGATGTATGAGGATGCAATGTTTGTGTATCTGAGTGAGAGGTGAGGCATCAGCCACATCTCAGCTGATTACTTTAGCAGTGAAGAGGCCTTAAGATAAAAACCAAATGCATCATGTGAGGACAGCTGGAATATATTCAGGTTCAGTGCAAGATAGCAGATGAGGATATTTAAGAAAACACTACTGTTAAACAGTCCAGCAGATGAAGGGATAATTGCGATGACTGAATGAATGAGTCATGTGCACAGAACTCGGTGAAAGGTAATGGGGCGGTAGTATGCCTATTTTCTTCTGAGATCACTGCATCCATTGAGGTATTAATAGATAAACAGTGATCCACAAAAGCCTTCGCAGGTATGATAAATATTTGTTGAAATTTGGATTCAAATGGAGGAGCAGAAAAATTTACTGAATAACAGTGCTGGATAATCTATCATCTATAGATTATTAGCCAGTATACTAACACTGGCCGATATTGATTTGATATTTTTCCTTTGAAAACTACTTTAAGACTAGTTTGACATCACATTGTTTGATATAACAACAACATGACATCAAGCTATGTCAAGCTAGATTTGTTACAGGATTGGATCTTTTTATTTTCTCCGATATCTAAGCCAGCCTTTTCTACTGGTTTGGTTCTACTTTTCTATTGGTTTGGAGCTGTCTTTACAGTCTACCAGTACTGGTGACATACACCAACTCGTGTTTTTTTAGTTTTAGTGGTTGTTAATAGATAACTAGGGTACATAACAGTGACATAAACATGCTATAAACATGTCATGCGGATATCATCTGCTTTCATGACATATACCATAAAGTTTGACATCAATATGTTTTCCTTCAGCCAATATTGGCATGTGACATAAGCTTATCATAGCATTAAACATTATTGCATGTGTCATGATGGTAACAGTAACATGACACTATTATACTACTGAACAAAATCAGCCATAGCAATGAAAGCACATGACATCCACTATGACATGTTTATGGCATGGTTATGTCAGTGTTATGCAGCAGAGTTCACATAAACAGCTACTAACTAAAACAATAAATGTCATATTCTGGGTGCTTCAGACTTTTGAACAGTTCAAAATACATACAAAGTAAATAAACAGTACATTTCCTGTCTGGAAGTGTGGTTTCAGTCTGGTTAATCTTTACAGCACTTTGGTGTAATTTTAAGAGAAGCAGAACAAAACAAGCTGTATGAGGCTTGTAAGGCATTTTTACTACAATATCTGCACTGAGAAAACATGGATTCATTAACTTTATATATACAAACCTCAACAGATATATATCACATGATACCATGATACCACAATATTTTCAGAAAATATTATTAAATCTTATCAGAATTGCCCAGAACTAATAAATAACAAAAATGATGATCCATATGATAGAAACATGAAGAAACATAAAGGAGAAACAGCTCGTTCCTCTTATACATCCAAACATAAACCCTTCACATGATGTCTTGTTGTGGAGCTCCTGCTGACCCTCTGGCTGTGTCTGGACCAGGACAGTCACTCTCAGTCCCTCAGCCTGGAATCCCTCCCTGGCTCCACCAGCTGACTGGCTTACATAACCCCTAAGTCTGTTCAGAGGAGGGGGAAGGGGGGGGGGTGAAGAGGAGGATGAAGGAGAAAGGTGGCTGAGCATGGACTGCTTTTAAATTTATTAAGAACACTCCTCACATTTCACCTTCTAATCCTCACAGGTGTTCGTTTCCCTTGTAAAGCAGTAAATCTCCCGTGTTGTGACTGATAGAATGGTTTCTACCAGAGGGAGACGGGCCAGCAAAGAGTTTGAAGGGACTTTGAAAAGACTGGAAAGATAATTGAGGATAAAACATTATGGCAATTTCACGTTCTTTTATCATTCCTCAGTGGAAAGTCAACTGCAGAAAAATGGCTTTTTCCATTTAAACAAAACTCAGAAGCTCCGTTTTTTTCCTAAACGCTTTAGTGCTGATAGGGAAGTGTACTGGCCTGAGACAGTAGAACATGTACAGTGTGTTCCCACTGCTGAGCCAATCAAAGTCCTGTTCTTTCTATGAATGTCATTTCAAAGGTGGAATAAGGCTGTGATACAATGCTGCCCCCTGTAGGAGGAGGCATGTAGCGCTCCATTAAGATCAACATCAGGCTGGTTGGTAGGCTTAACAATTAAGAGGCCTGGCTTTTTGCAGAACTAAAGATGTTTTTTTTTAGATGTTTAAACGTTCTATATGTCTTTGTACCTGTCAAAGTGAGGAGACCGAATGTTCTGAAGTGACTTTATTCTGCACCAGAAGCATAACCTTAATAAAACTGCAAACAAAAATTGAGAGCATAGATTTTAATTCAATACTTCACATACTGCACTAAATCCAATAAACCAGGACTAATTATGCTCTCTTTGTAATGAAATTGTGCTTAAGTGTGCCTAAAGTACAAATGCTATAGACAATTCACTCAGAAAAGCATTTACTAATGTACAGCACTGTCCAAATATCAGAGACCCCTCCCTTTTTTAATTTCCAGTCAAATTGGCCACTAAGTACAAGCTCTTCATTTTTTACAACAGAAAAAAAGCTTTCACAAGACACACTTTCAAAAGAAAACTACCAAAAAGCCAAACAGTTAAATATAAAATCAAATATTTCAATATGTCCACTAAATTAGAGTTTCCATTCTATTCAGGAGACCTGCGGTCTGTTTTTTCAAAGAAATCTGCAAAATCTCCACAGTTCAGTTTTATAAGTGGGTTGAATTTTTTGCATCTCACAATCCAAGTAATTACAAACACACATTTTTGTCTATTTCCTTTGCTCAGTAACAGCTTACTGACAGCTACATATCCTACACATCAGACCCATAGTGTTCCATAGCATTCTCACAGAAACACCTGTGGATTTTGTCAGATCTGAAGCAAGAGTGGAGCTTGATTTTCTCCTCTCTCTCAAAAATAAAAGCTGATGGTGACAGTTTTGGTGATCCGCCATGTCTTAGGAGTGTTGTTAGGAGTGCAGTTTTCTCTAACTTATAATAATGATTTGAACTCCAGTTTTGGAAACTTTAGTTTTTGCAATTATTTGTCCATGTACTTTCCCTGTCATAATGCAAGCAGATTATCTCGCATCTAATCTCCTTAGGAATATCTCCTGAAAAATGAATAACTTGTACTTAACAGCTGTTCTGACTGCTCTCTGACTTTTACACAGTAATTTATCACAATAAAATTTCTGGCTTATTGTCCACACCTATTTTACTCTTTCAGTATTATTTTTCCAGTTTTCAAAACGAGCCCCAATTTCGCAATGGAACAAATTTAAAGAAACGGTTCAGTTAGAAAAACCTAGTGTTGCTGACAATGAATACAACCAATTACCAACTTTGCACAATACTGCACTAGTAATTTTAACTTCTAAGTTTACTTATTTATGTCTACCTCTTTTTTGTGAGTGGAGGATTAGCAAAGTAAGAATTACACTGTACAGTGTAACCACCTGTTTTACTGTGCATATGACAATAAAAGTCTTATAAAAGCCAGTTGGTGGTAGCTAGTAGCTTCCAATCACTGTTAGGCCACGTTTACACAGCGGGTTAAAGTGGCCCAAATCCGACATTTTCAATTCTGATTTGAGACGTTTCATATGTGGTACTGAAACCCGATACGTATCCAATCTGCAGCAATGCGACTCAGTCTGAACAGCCAGATTTAGTTGTTTCTGTACTAAAAAATTAGAATAACATGGCTTTTTTACTGCGAGCTCGAACACATTCCGGGTGATGAGCCCAGGTGTCAGCCATCAGAACTTCATAATCGCTCCTGTGAAGCTGGCAAAGATGAAACTGAAACCTTTGGGAGCGACTGACGTTCGTACACAGTCAGGATTGTTTACTTCTGGACGAGCCAGGTGAACTAACGTGAAGCATTGTTCTTTTGCACGTACGGGTCAGTTTAGGAGCTGATCTGTTCAGACTAATGTTGCATACAGGTCACATTTAAAAGATAATGTGATCAAACAAAAAAATAGGATTTGGTGAGAAAATCAGATTTGGGCCACTTTTACCTGCTGTGTGAATGTAGCCTTAGTCACATTAGCACGTTTGTTTACATTACTCCTTTTTAAAATAGTGTCTATAAAAAGAACCACTCAACAACTTTTGGTTTTTATCTTGGTTACGGGGAGGCGGTTTTTTGACTGCTACAATGTGAAAAATACAAGGACACACGGTTCCCAAAATGTCAGTTTAATAGATGTTAAAAAAGTGTAAGGCTAGGATGCTGTGATGGAAATATGACATTGTACATGTCTGAGGGACAGATGCTTTCATGGCAACCTGACAGTGGGGTTTTGGATGGAACACTTAACCACTCCCAGCTGAAAAAAAGTGCCCAAACATGGAGTATTAGGGACAGCATACAACACACCCTGCTCTAACTCCCCACAAACTGACAGCAAACACACTCACACACATATAGACACACCCAAAGACAAACACACACACACCTCCACACTCCGGGTCTCCTTTATAAAATAGTGCATAGCTCAATAAAGGTACATTTCAGTGGTCAATCATTTAGTGATCCACTCATGTAATATTGATGAAAATAAGTCATCCGAATTGTAACAACCATTGTCAAAACATCAAATCCAAGCCATCTATGTTTCATGTACATATTTATATTTCATATATATTTATATTCACTATACAAAGTTACATTCTGTACTGCAAAGGCTCATTGATAGAAATAAATACTGAGATGGCTAAATTTGCAATGTAAAGCTGTTTCTCCTCTCCTGGAGAGAAAGAACAACTGCAGACAAAGCACTGCCCCCTCTATTATGTCCAAACGCTAGCACAACAGCAGCATAACATCAGCAAAACTTTAGCCCACTCGCTCGTCGCATTACAGAGGCCTGCGGTTAGAGTCTAAAAGACAAATGTACAAAAGTGTCATAAAAATAGGCATTTAGTCTCTGAACGCATGAATCTACACAGAGGAGAGGCTTTCTTTTGGGAAAAAAAAGCAGTGGAGAGAAAGAAAATGATCCTAACAGTATTGCATAACATTGTTTTCTTCTGCCATGATTGATCTAATCAGGCTGTTGTCTTTTCATAAGAGCTGATCATATACAAGGTCATTATATAAAGATACTACAATTCCTTTGGTAAATTTAACATTCATATAGAAACGGGTATTCTGCCATCCATTAAACCTTTTCTTATTTAAGAGGAGAACTGTTTACTTCTGAAACTACAAGGACTTGAAAACGCTTTGATGCTTTGTGTCTCCAGGCTTAGCTGGGAAGACCGGAAACGTGACAAAACTGACTGTACAGCACAGCAGCCTACAGAAAACAGCAGGCACTGGGCATGCAAGTTTTTTGCAAGCCATGATGCAGCCTAAGAGCAGCTATTACTTAAGAAGGTGCTTTGTTTCTGCAAACATTTCGCCCTCCAGCAACTTCATTTGCACAGAACAGAATTTAGCATTTTAACCATTCACCGATATCTGACTTTACTGTGATGCACAGTGCTATTTTCTTTTGAAAAAAAAAGCCATGAAAGAAAGGAAATCTGGAAGTAATAATTAAAAAAAAAAAAGAACACTAGATTGTCCTGATTCATCACAGCCGATTTTATCAGTATTGCTGCTGCGGATGTGTTGTTGTGAAAGGTCCATTTATTGGTCAGAACAGACTTGTACTGCCACTGAAGTGAATGTGCAAAGACTTTCACCGAATGTAACTTCCTGATAGCTGGACGCAACAATAGTGACCCTTCAACAAAGAGCAAGAACAAACATTAAAACCAAAATGAAATACTTAACACAAGGCTGAACACAAACACGCAGTTATGCGCAAGAACTCCTTGAAATGTCCTCGCCTGGCAAAGGCTGTGTGAGTGGAAAAGTGTCAGAAAAGAGGTCAGTCTTCATTGACCATGACCTGCCATACAATAAGGTGGCTGCGCTCGGCTTTGGCCAGGAAGGGCTGCAGCTTCAGAGTGGCTTCTTCAAGGTCCTCTCCTTCCCCTCCCTCATCGCCTGGACGGGTAAGATATTTGTCATTTGTAAATCAAAAATACCACAATGGGTCTGAAACATACAATAATCTTTCTTTGCTGTATTGGTTAATAGTAATCTGCATTTAACAGCAGTTCTTCTTTAGTCTTCTATATTGCAGCTTTAAGTCTTCTGTATCTCGTAAATTCTGTAATTTGCTATAGTTTTCCTAATTAACATGTTTACACAGTACTTGTTGTTGCTGGTAACTCTGCAGTTTCTCTCAAGATCATTAGTTTCTGTCTGTCTCTCAGTGTGTCTGTCTATCTGTCTAACAAGACTGAGGCAGATGTGGATAATGTGTGCATAAACTAACCCATTCTGAAGTCAATATAGCCCTCTCCACCGCTCATGACTAGGACTGACTTGGAGAACTCTGTAGGTGCAGGCGAGTCTGCTGCTGGCTTGTCAGTGCCTGCCTCGCCTCCTGGGCCTGTGGACGGGATGACTTGGCCTGTCATGGGGAAACAGAAAGCACAAGGCAAAGATAAATTTTTTTTTAAACAAACAGCTGTGCAACAGTGAGAAATCCATGTACATGAGCAGAATCACTGTCATGCAGTTCCTATTTTATTGTCTAAAGAGCTAAGAAAATGAAAATGTGCTGAAAGATGTGCTAAAATTTCAGATATCCAGGAGCCTCAAAGGACCCTCTATACAGAAGTGCATTTTTGGGGGCGCCACAAACTTAATAACTTTAAATCAGGCAAGTTTACAAACATTATAATTTACAACGGTGGCCTGGCAAACTGCAAAATGTACTTCTAATTTATTAAAGGGTCAAACCTGGAACAGCTGCGAAGAACTTGACTGCATCCCGGTGACCGTGGAAACAGAGCTGAGCATGGGCCATGGAGCAAAAAGGCACAAACGTGCCTGCGGTTACTTTATCACTGTTCTCATCACCATAGACACGGATCACGCTGCCTGGCCGGTTGGACGTTCCCTGGGTGACTTTCTTTGCTTTGTCGGACAAATTTCTTTTGATCAGTCAAGTCCAAAATTTTCTCCTACATATTTTGAGGATGAGTCTTGACTTCAATTAGAATTTCATCAAAACAGATCTACTGAGAGCAGATGCACACAGATGCATCCACTGGCATGTAAGTATCGTAGCCAGGTTGTATAGATGTTAAATAAAGTGAAGAGATTTTTAAAGTGCATACTCTCTGTTAGTGGTATGGAGATGATAACGCCGTTCCCAGTTCCAATCCACAGGCGGTTACACGACACCATCAGTGCTGTGATCCTGACAAAGGAGAAGCCTAGCTTACCAGTTCCTGAGAAAAAAATACATATTCATGCATATTAGTCAAATCACAAGACATTTATGAGTCAAATCATCCAAGACATTTCTGAGTCTTTTTTTTAACCAAGAAATTCAGCACATTCAATGCAATGGGGGAAAAAATGCCAGCCATCACTGAAAGAGTTTTCAAGTCAAATGAATGGAAAACTTGCTCACCGAGCATTTTGCTGACATAGGGCTCTATATCAACATCCTGCAAATGCTGGTAGGTGTGGGCATGGAAGAGTCTGAGTGTGGAATCTAGACGGATGGACACCCAGATGCCATCACCATCCCAAGCAAGTTGCCTCACTTGGCTCTCCTTACGAGGGTGGGCATCAAAGGACTTCTGCATTATTAGGAAGAGAATGACAGAAATAAGAACCATCAGCCTAAACGTTCACGTTTAACATCAAAAACTATCAACAATGCTAGACCATGAAAGGCCAGAAAGAGTTTACCATATCAATAATGGCACAAGTGTGTCTCACCTCTATCTTCATGGCTTTAGGTTGGATGACATAGATCTTGTTCCTGTAGCCACACCACACTTTATCATGCACCACTGTCATGCAGCGGATTGAGTGGTGCGGCCGGCCCAGATCCAGCAGGTGGTAGTTGGTCAGATCCCACTGACCATCTGCACACAAGAACAAAGACACTCACATTCAGAGCTGTTCAGGAGATGATCCATAAACAACTAGTCTGTGTTTTATAAGAACATTTTAAGAATTTCAGAAATCTTACTTAGATAAAACAGTGTGATTATTATTATTGTATCAAAGAACTGATCTGTAGAAAATGTAAGACGATATAAGAGTCTGTGAAATCCCTACCTATTCCTCTGTGGAAGATTGCCAAAGTACCATCAGCCAAGGCCACTAAAACTCTGCCTTTCACATGCCTTCAGAGAACACAGTGAGAGAAACAGAGAGAAGATCATGAAAACAAGGACCTTCCACCATTGCGTAGTGGTATTTGTGTAGTGGGAGATAAATGAAATTATATATTACATTAAAAATACATAAAAATGCTGCACTTACACAATCCCCAAAATTGAATCCTTCAACTTTATTGAGTGAAGGCACTTCCTCCACTGTGCGACAGAGGAGTGTACATACACACTGCAAAAGAGCACACATGACAATCATTAAGGCAAAAAATGTGCAACCCATAGCAATAAACAGACATCTGTCGAGTAAATGACTGACAGACAAGAAAGATGCCCACCAGCCATTCTGTGCCCCAAGCCACATAGTGGGCAGGACGCTGCTCATCTTGTTGGCCTCTTCCCTCATCAGGTCTTGCTCTTCAGGCACCAAGCTCACCCCGTCTTTCACCAGGTCAGATTCTCTAAAGCATTATATGGTAGGGAAACATGAGAATTCGCTCACAATGATGGGACTATATGAAAAGCTAATGTAAAATGTTCTGAAGTGCAGAGACTGAAATACTGCTCATGCTGATCAAAGCAAGTCTAAGTTCTGTAGTGAAAATGCTTCTCAGAGTCTTTCATCATAAACAAAAAACCACCAAAAGCATTGTGAGTGAATGTCCCCACCTCTGAGTATAAGTGGACGGTGTATCTCCAGTGTTCTGGACTCCTAGAGGATCTGTGAACACGTGCTCTGTGTAGATCCCTTGGTGGCCTTCCTCTGCAGGAGTGGTGCTGCTGCTCTCTGTGGCCTCCAGGGCCTCCTCAGCCGCAGCCACTCTGTCGTGCCTACGCTGCCCCAGCACACTGCCTGAATCGCAGGAGAAAGGAGTGGGAGAGGTGATGAGACACAGAACTCAACAGAAAAACTAGACAAAGTCAGGGGACTTTGTTGAAGCTATATTTCCTAATGATTTGGTTTGTGAAACGCACATAATGTATTTGCAGCAGGGGACATTTCACCAATATGTTCTATTGCTGTCTACAAATTAGTCAGTTACAAAGGGACGGTTAAGTACCAGAGTCTTCAGATTCCTCTACAGAGTTTGCACTGGCAGTTTGGGGGATAGCGACAGTTCCTTCCACAGAGCAGCCTACCACAGTGATTCCATCTAGTACACCCTCAGAGCCAGTCAAGTTGCTGTTTGCTGCACTACCAGCCTGTGATGCCCCCTCAGCACCACCAAGCTCACTGTTTGCAGGCACCTCTTCACCAGCTGGGTAGTCAGTCTCCCGTGCCCCTGGAGCAAAATCATAACCAACACCACATTAAGAAAGCAGTCAGTATCTCATAGTCTCATGACTTTCTACAAAAGCCCGCTCTCTCTCCTCTGACCTGGCACACTGGCGATGCAGAGCACATGAGAGTTGCAGACGAAGAAGTTTTCCAAGATGTTTCCAGGCTGGTTGGCATCGATCACTATGACCTTGGAGGTGGCGTGAGTGCTGGTGCAGATCCACACCAGACTGGAGAGCTCATCCTGCTGTCTCAGCTCTTTCTCCTGCTCCTGTTTGCACAATATTACATAAATGACTCAGCATGGAACTCATGCAGCATTTTTCTGTAGGGCTGAATGATGTATAGAATGTACAGTGCATTTTAAAAACTATAGTATTATACCATACAATACTATAACACACTATTTTACCTGCTATGGTAATGCAGATAAAAAAATGGGGCACCTTTACACTTCTTAAAGGCATACGGACATTACATCCTCAAACACAACATTTCACTGTTTATTGACCATATCTTGGTTCAGTCTGTTATGTTTGTATTTAGAGCTACTTAAAACGAGTTGCTTCTACCTCTGACTAAAAGCCTTATCCTCCTGGATTTATTACCTACATTCATGTTTACAAAGCATTGTGATACTACACTTGGTATCGTTACTGAAGTCAAAATTTAGGTATCAGGACAATTCTGTGTTACAAACCCGAAAGTACTGCACCGTATATTATGTTCTGTTATTCTTGTGTTCAAATGTGTTCGCACCTTCAGCTCCTGCTCCAGTCTGTCCAGGCTGCTCTGAGAGCCTTTTGTCTGTCGTGGGCTGAGGATGCTGCTCTCCACTCCTGAGACATCTCTATAAAACACGCTCGCTCCTACAATAGAACCTCCGTCACGAGTCTTCCCTCCTGAGAGATTCACCCCTGCTGCACACCACAGCTACAAACACACACACACAAGAACATCTGAAGTCAATCATTCTACATAAAGCTATTAGATCTAATGCAGCAAATAGAATTTCTTCTCACCTTCATAGAAGCATCTTTCTCATCTAAAGGTCTGAGGTAAACAGGCACTGGTAAGTTCTTCACCTTACTGTCTGCCTGCCCACCATTTGAAGCCTTTTAAGAGAGATAATAACAATTCACAAAAAATGTCTGTGATGCTTTACTAACATCCTTGCACATTATCATCAACAAACAGGGTGTAAGAGCCATACCTTGTATTTCTGAGGCAGACTCCACCCATAAGCCTGTACTCTGCCATCTTCCTTCTGGACGTGAGCCTTCACCTGCCTGTACTGAGCTCTCTTCTGTTCTCTACGTGACACAATGTTGTCCACCTCTGGCCTGCAGAAATACATGCAAAAACACATAAAAGTATATCCTAACGGCTTGTTAGGGACAAAAGTAAGATAGGGTGATCAATATAGGAGAGGCATTTCAAGAGGATGGTAGGGATCAGACAACCATAACTACACTTATGAGACTACATATTTTTTCATCTGACACCTTTATTTTAAATAGGGAAGACAGTTTATTATGCCCCCATTTCTTTTAAACATGGCCACATAGGCTATAGACTATTGTGGCAGCCAGCTGCTGCTCAGACAGATCAATAGAAACAGAAAGCTAAAAACGTGAACTCTTTGAATCTTTTAAAGTCATCATTAAATGAAACAAAATACCTTATAGACATGGGCAACTCCCTCCTACTTTGTTTTAATTAGCATTCATTGCTTAGCATGTAACGTTCCTTACTCTCATGCATCTTTTAGAAGAAGTCCTACAAGGGACTCTTAAGGCTAATGTAGGCTAAATACATGCAGGAGCCAAAAATGCTTAAGCACTGTTTGTACTTGGAGGTGCACACACCGCTGGCAACATTCAGTGTCGTTGTGCACCACCAGATAGCAACTTCCAACACTGCTCACTGTCTCTGAGTTCAACATCTGTCTATTACTGCATTAAATCAAAGCATGTGGCTTGAAATTTACACTAAGAAAGGCAGTAAATCTAAAGTATTTTAGATAAACAGACAAACAATACTCATCTGTTCCCTTAGCTTAGTCACACTGTCACCTCTTGTAACTGCCAAAAACATACAAGGCGTTATTTCACCTCATATACTTTGGACAGAGCTTGAGCTTGATGTTTATCAGTGTTAAGCACTGTGCTATCTGCTGCATAGTATGGCACTTCTTGTACAGTATGCAGTAACATTTAGATGGCTTAAGCAGTCTTCCTGTGTTCCCTTTATTGGACTAAGCAGATAAGAAACTCCGACCAAAACGTAAGACCAAATGCAGGCTTTTCATTACCCTCAGGTGGAGTCTAGAGTTCAGACATCTCAAGGTTCTTAAATATTAGAATGTATAACGCTAGAGGGAAGCTGATTTGCTGATCAAAAATCTTAATTTATGATTTAGAATTTTTTAGACTTTCATGACTATTTGAAAATTCTAACCCTTCTCTTTTTAAAGAACGGCAATTCACCATTTGACGTGCTTTTGACCTTTTAGGTTTTACACTTTCTTGATATTCTGCACATATATTCTGCACAATGTCCCAGTAATGAAAAAAGAGCATTATTTTATTGCCATTAATACAGGACAGATAAACAATCTTAAAGAACAAAAAGTTGGGACACCTCAAACGAAGCTGAAACAGAAAACCGCCCCAGGAAATATTGAGTCTAATCATCCTAGTCATATAGGGGTTACTTACTCCTCATTGAGGAAGTCAAAAGCCTTGGACTTGTCGCTGGGCAACTGGGCGAGAGTGCTGCTCCTCTTCTTAACTGAGGGCACGACGTTTGAGGTGGGGGCGTTGTACTTAACGTTAACGGGAGCCTCTGGCTTTTTGCCTGTGCCGCTGGAGGACGAGCTGAACAGCCTACTGAAACTGGGCAAGGGAGAAAGAAAGTGGGGGGGAGAGATAGAGAGAAGAGGGGTAGGGGGAGGTGGGGGAAAGAAAGAGACGACACAGAAAGACTGATATGCAGACACAGGCAGTAGCAGGAGCAGTGTTAGAGGTCTTAGGTCAACAGTTAGGGGTCAGTGGGTCACTTCCCAAACAAAGGCCATGCCCCCACCCTGCTTAGCAACAATTCCCCATCAACCTGATTCTCAGTAGGTCAAAATAACAAAAATGCTGCCCATGCACACCACCAAATTAACATTGCAGAGAACCTGTGGAACAAGCCAGTACTCTTAATATACTTAGCTGTTTTATAACTCAGCCTATGCATGGAACCTGGAGCTTGGTCATTTTTTTGTGTAATTAAATCATCAAGATGTAACAGTCATTCAGAGTAGTTTGGTGTGAAATGGACCATTGTAGAGAAACACACAGAGTCATTGTTACTCACAATGGTGGTGATAGGACCAGATATTCAAAGTGTTGAATTCCTCTACAAGCTACATCAAATAAAACAAGGTTATGATATGCTGCGTGATGCCTGAGACATTGTTTGACAATAGTTCTGTGGTAAGGTTTTGGTCTAAAATATATCTACTTTTGAATATATTTATGAAGAAGAGGTACATACAGGATATTGTAAGGCAAAATAATGCATTAAGAAAACCTAATTTTATTTATTTATTTTTTTTAGAACTATCAATGTTTACCAACATTAATGGTTAGGCAGCACATGAAGGTTTGCTGGTCATGTTGGATACTAAATAAAATGGCTATATTTGCATTGTAGACATTGCAACCCCTGAGTTCTTATCACCGCCACTGTAAAGAACTGAGCTGGTTTCTCTACAATGAACCATTTCACATCAAACCACTCTGAATTACTTTGTTTACATCGCAAGGACTGAATGAAATTTTGATATATCAGTGTAATTCCACATTTAGAGATGCATACAGTTTTTCTGCACAGTGGATTTGATCTCCATCTGTTCAAATAATCAATTAATAATTACTGCTTACTTAGCACATACGCTGTGCAGTCTAGTAAATAAATTACATTCATGTACTGTGCTGATGATGTTATGGTAAACATTAAAAGGATTCTCCACCCAGATATTGTGTCATGTGTCCCCCCTGGGGAGACCTGACTCGGACTCTCCGTGGCTCTGCCAACTCTCCTCCTCTCAAACACACGCAGCTCATTTCTAGGACACATATATACCCTTTTGTTGGTTTTAGTGGTTGCGAAGTTACTGAGCCTTTTTCCTTTGTATTGTTTCCCCATTTTCCAACCTTGCTTTGTCTATCTGTTTGTTTTTCTAACATGGATCTGCCTTTGCTTTTGCCTGCTCGTGTGTTGACCTCTGCCTGTTATATGGAGGCAGAGTATTGGACAGCCCCTAGTAAAACCACTTTGCATTTGCAACCTGCTTCAGCCCCTACGTTACACACTGTACATGCAAAGCACTCAACAAATGTTCCAAACCAAACAAAGTAAGTCTTTTGTCATTAAAGCGTAAAACATCTGCTTAAGTCTACACTCAACGCAGCCTCTCTTCCCACCCACACACCTTCTGCAAACACAGAGGACAACAGGAGGCAGGATAAAGAACACATGAAAGGGGCACACAACAGGAGAGTAAAGGAATTTTAAGTATGCAAAATGCCAAATATTCATCCCAATCCAATAACACCAGAGGCAGAAAATTCACATAAATCCCAAGACCTGGGAATGGCTAAGCATTGCGCTATCCTGGCTGGGTTTAAAAATGAAGGGGGTAAAGGGAAAAACAGTCTTGAGTAATGAAGGTGCGAGCACTGCACTAGACTTCAAATTTTGTTCTAATTAACTTTTATGTAATGCATTAGTTTGGCTGTAAATTCTTGTTGTAAAGAGTTTAAAGCAAAACCATTCCCAAATCCAAGAGCATGTTTTGGATTTAAGGGCCAGACCAAGTGCAAGATTAACTAGCATTTCAAAGATTTACCTACATCCTGGATGGAAAAAAAGCAAAAAACAAATAAAAGGACATGAAAAGGAGAGCGAGAAACACCGAATGAACGCCAAACCACACAAGGTAATAATAACATACTTCAATTACTATTGTGCGACGCAAGAAAGAGAGAGAGAGCTTACAACTGCCAGATACTGGATTTTTTCTTCTCTGTCAGGGCTGGGTTCTCCCTTGAGGCTCTGTGTAGGGAAGAAATGTAAAATTATGGACTGGTAAATAGTGCACAGAACCACACTGTTTGGTTCAATAGGTGATTGCTATAATGTTCAGTAAACGTGGCGATATGACAAAAATATAACATCATGATACTGGTAGATATTTTCACAATATACAACATTTATCACAATGTTTAGTTTTTGAGGTTAACAAGTTGCAGTGGAGAAAACACACCAATAAAACAGTAGGGTCACCCTTAAAATAAAGCTATCAAAAACTAACAAGGAGCAGGAGGAGCCATTATAACACCCATATGCTAAACTGGAGTGATACACAGGCTGTGGCTCACCACTCACCGGATCATTTCGGTCCACCTAACTGCCTCCTGCAGCTCCATCAGTCTCTCCTTGTACTGGTTTCTCTCCATCAGGACCCGGGCCATCTCTACTCGCGTGAATCGCTTCCGCTGGGCTGTGGGCACATCACTCTGCAGGCAGACAGCAATGTTTCACTGCGCAGAACTTAAACTTGGTCTTCATCAGGTCATAATTTATATCATCAACATGTTAACCATATGACTCTATGTTTATGATGGTTCATGGAAAATGATTCACTCACATCATCTTCCTCTTTTGCCTTTTGTCTGGCCACCTCTAACTCAGCCCGAATCCTGTTAAAATAGAAACAGCATTAGTGCTATGCTACAAATCCTAAACAATGAGCATACATCTTGGAGACTAAGGACTAAATTGCAGGTCCAATGATAAATCACCATTGGAAATTCTTTTGAATCTAGGCTTAAGCTTAATCTGGGTCTAGGAAACTGGCTGATAATGTTCACAGTTTTGTAACTCTTACAAATAAAAAGACTTAATAATGGAGTTGTGCAGAGTATTCACTCGTGTATTCACTCAAATGTCCCGTATCTGCTAGTCAAAATCAGCAAACAACACAACAATCACAGAGTTGGTCACTGGCCAAAAGGAAATAGTTGCATAGCCATGGCCTATCCCTTTGGAATGGACACCAGTGCTTTTGAGGGGAATACCAAAAACAGCCAGTACAAATGAAAGTTTGTGATAAGCATGTTCCTTTAGAACACGTTCTGACCTCTTAATCTCTTCTTCTAGCTCCTTATTCCTCTCCTGCAGTTTGTCTTTGGCCTGTCTGAGGACTTCCATCTCACCCTGTAGAACCTCCTTCTCACAGGTCAGCTCATCCACACGACCAATGAGGTCATTCTTCACTACATTTAGAGCATTCCTGCAGTGCACACACACACACACACACACACACACACACACACACACACACACACACACAACACCCCAACATGAGGTTTTAGCCATTGCTTCCTTTCCTTCTGTGTAAAATTGCTGTAATTCCACAAATACACAGCAGAGGGCAGTACACAATAAGAGGCTGAAGGTGTTTAGCTCATAACTAAACACCAAAGCAGAGACTGGCTTTTATAATCACAGAGCAGATAATCAGCTTCTAACGGAGGCTACTGTATATCTTACTTTGTTTCTAGGAGCTGGGTGTTCTCCTGGATGAGGTGTTCCACCTCACGACCCATACCTGCGTTAAAGCAACATACCTTTTATCATTGTTCCTTTCCACAAAACATACCTGTGCTTCTAAAAACTTATAACCAAACAAAATTTGCAAACACTTTATTTGAAGACTATGTACATAGGGATTTCATATCACATGCATAAGCACTGAATAATGTATTCATAAAGCAATACTTTTGACATAATATATTTTATGAAGTAATTGACATAAAAAGTGACTGATATTTGTTGATTTTTTTTAAATGAAGCATGAAACACTGTTAGAAAGCATTAATTTTATGTAACGAAATCTGGTTCCTATGTAATGGCAGCCTAGCGAATAGCTCCAAAGGCCAGTTTTGATGGAGGATTTTCGATACACAAAAGTGATAAGATTTTCACTTTATTTTCCGATATGAATATACCTACCCCCTACATCCTGTACTTGAATGAAAGCATAAATACCCCTGCCTATATTTCAAAAGCATAAAAGTACTTGCTTTAAATGTATTTAAAAATCAAAAGTAAACATACCAAGAGTTATTACAGAAATGTTATAGTGTTTTGATGAACACTTTCTATTTTGCATTTAGTTGTTAATGTCTGCAGCCAAAGAAGACTCCTTTACTATGTTTTTGTACCACAGCAGCTCCTAACTCAAGCAGAAATATGCAAAACTGATACATGCTGCTCTTAAGTAGGCTTCTGTCTTTTAGTTTCCATTACTTGTGAATGATGCTAATAAAGAGTACTGTAGATGGAACAAATGTCTGTAGCTTTAGTCTAAGCCTTGCCAATACAATGTAATTTATTTCATAAAATATCTTAGGTCACATTGTGATTACTGGCATAACCTGTTCATAAACACTTAAGTACTACTTTGTAAATACATTATGAAATATGCGTGTTTTATGATGTCTCTATGTTGGCATCCTTTAAATAAAGTGTTTACCCAAATCTACATATTCAGTATTCAATAGATGACATTAAGTAGCATATACATACAGAATATTTAAGAGATGGCATTAGAAAAAAGAGGAGTAAGAGTAGACAGGAAACTGATAAGACTGTTCCTCATGAATACGTATTATGAGGCAAACTGTAAAAAAAAACAAAAAATAATAATAATAATAATAATAATAATGAATAACCATGAAATTGGCCTTACCAAAAAAATTAAGGTCTAAAATTGGCAAGCAAAGCAATGTAAGCAGACAAAAAGAGCAAATAAAAAGAGAGTTTAAAAATAGTTCTTCAGAGGCAGACTTTTAAAAGCATGAAGGCATGGGAAATTATTAGGGGGGCAAAAGTAGTCAGTAAAACATACACACCAGAATACTCATCTGGGGAACAGAAAAGGCCAAAAAATGAGGAGAACATATATAGAGAGAAAATGGTTAGATGCACTGGTTAATCAATGTTAGTGATAGATGTATAAAGGACTGAGGGGTAAACAGTACTCTATTTAGACACCAATATAGGGTTGGTTTTCTAGTTACAGATTTAGCTTAGATAAGCACTCATAGAGCCTGTTTACACCTAGTGTTAACACGTGTTTCATGTCCAGATCTTATCTGGGTATGGCCGAATTTACACTTTTCACTAAAAATGCGTCCCTAAAGGGACAGTACAGTACGTTTGCCGCGAAAAAAGCACATCAATACATGCGTTGTTTCCATCTTCCTTTTGTTTACTTTTTTCCCCCCTTATAAGTCAATAAGCTTGCTGTGGACAACGCATGTTGATGCAAGAAGTAAACAGGCCTGTAGAGTAATTCATTCCAAGACAAAACCTACTCTGAGACATGAAAACCATTCCCTAATTATGTATTTTTGTTTTCAGCATGTTTTAGCATGTTTAGAAACACGTGGCTAGATTACAGAACACACCCACAGCGGCCAAAGACATAAATCAGCAAAAGGACCCAACATGGTAATAAAATGTACAATATGTAAATGTACAGGAACACAGTGACCAAATCTAGTATACACAATCACAACAGAAACAGGAGGACTAGTCAATACATGAAAGGATGAAATAAATTATACCAGGAGTGGGAAGGCAGGTGAGCGTACTAGGAATACAGTGCTCCACAGTTGAAGAGCTGTGACACTAAAAAGTGGATAGTTTGAAAGTAGAAACATTTCTCCTAACCTGAAGCTCAGATTTTCTCAATCTTAAAAATAAACAGGTCAAAAAAAGGTTCTTTGGAGAGAATGAACCACTTTTGATTTCCTTAATAACTAAATGTATGTTTTCTCAAAAAATATATATTTTAGTAAATGATACATTCAAGTATGAGTTTGAACAATCTATTTAAAGTTTAAAGAATTCCCAATTGATGTAAGGGTTATTTATGAATTAAGATTTCCTCGGAACAGTACATCCTAGCCAGGAACCACTGAGGAACATTTTTTCTTAAGACCAGTTCTCCTAAAACAGTACACTGACAAGTACATAACACAAACTATTACTTACCCAGTAGGTCAGCCCCCTCATCCACATCTCCTATTAGGTCAGTGCCTGCTGAGGAAAGCTCCTCAAACAGGGAATCAGTGTTGCGGTCAAAAGCCATGTTCTCAATTCCCTTAGTGGGAGTGCTGAAGAAGAAAAGGCAAGACACACAGAGACTGAGGGGTAGAGAGGACAGTGCTCAGAAAAAAAAACCTTCTGGCAGAAGACTTATCAGTACACACACACTATGTGGGTTTGGTGAAAGGTTCTGGCTCCTCATCTATAGTTGAGTAATGACATCATGGTGCTGATAAGAGGGTGAATGGACCATAACAGCACTGTGTGTTAAATGATTGGATCAGTGAGGGCGTACCTGGAGCCTTTGCAGCCACTCAGGTCCATGTCAAGTTCAGGGGTTGACTCAATAATCGCCTGCACCTCTGACTTCTCAGTGTTCTCAGTTACATCTGTTCGGACATACAAAATACATCTTAGGTGGGTTTACAATGTACTTTTTCAATGCTGCTTCTGGCTGTGTGTGTGTGTGTGTGTGTGTGTGTGTGTGTCTGATCTTAATTATGAATTAGCTGTGCTAGCTACCCATCATTTCCATATGTATAGGTAGAAAGTGCTTGCTCTTTCAGAAGGCGATCTACTATTAACTAGCAAGTGTAGTGCTAGCAGAAACAAGATACAATAAAATATAAATAAATAAAACTTATAAAAAGTTATGTCACCATAACTTTGATCTGTTCTCAGTACTCAGCCAGTGCAGCACTAAATCTCTTTTCCATGATAATGTCACTAAAGGTTATGTACTGGCACCCTTTTCTTTTTATATAAAATTTACAATATATTCATAATTAAATGGAAATACACATACTTTATCATTAGATTATTTTAATGGATGTCTAAAGTTATTAAACAAAGATATGTCTTTTCAACTTGTAGGAAGTGATTTTAAAGAAATGCCTCGGTAATCTTTCGCTCTCATTATTCCTTCAATTCAGTTGAGGCCTGCAGTACCTGGGGCAGCAAAGCAGCCCCACAAAATTATGGATCCACCACTATGTTTGACTGTAGGTAGGATGTTCTTTTGCATATAAGCTATATTTTGTCTCCTATAAACAAACTGCTGGTCTGCTTTGAGAAGAGCTCCATTTTTGTTTCGTATGTCCCCGAAAACATTTGCCCAAAAGGATTGTGGTTTGTCCAGGCATATTTTGGCAAAAATACATCATGCCTTCTTCTGTTTCCAGCAATAGAGTCCTCCTTGGCCTTCACCCCTGAAACCCTTTTTTGTTTAGTGTGTGCCATATGGTGCAGGTGAAAGCATAACTCCAGATTGCTTCAGGTCTACCTTTTTAGCTCTTTGGATGTAACTCATAGTGTTTTTTCCACAGTTCATACCAACCGTCCAAGACTTTTCTCACCGAGTTTCCTCTTTGACCCGCGTTTTAGGAGGTTCTTAAGAGATGGCCTTGTACCCTTTACCATTATTGTATTTGGAGATAATAGCACTTCTGATGCTCTCAGACAGCTCACTTGTCTTCAACTTTGTGGAAAATGATCAGGGAAAGTGGCCTTTTGTAGCATAAAAGCCATAATTCGTTGGTTCATTCAAGTTATGTGAGCCCTCATTTATCACAGGTAAGTCTAATCTAGTCTAATCTGAATGGGATTTATCAAAAGTGTGCCATTTGTGTCACATCCATATTTCTGTTTTTATGCCCCCCCCCCACCCCTCACTATTTTTTACTCTAAGCTGTTGTGTATTGAACATGAGTGTATACTGACCAAAGATGTTTCACAAAACATTTTTATTTTAGGAGATATTGCACATTATGTACTTAAAATTCAGGGTGCCAAAATGCTGGCCAGAACTGTAAGACTCACCTTTAGAGGCTGTCTCTGTTGCTATGCCGTCCTGTACTTTAATGTTTTTGCTGCTGTCTGGCTTCTTGCTACTGGAATTCAGGTTCCTGTTAAGTCCCTCTGCCTCTTCAGTTTGGGGCGTGTCTACTGATGCCATAGCAACATCTGAGGTTGCCGTGGACATGGGCGTAGCTGATTTGGAGCCTCCCCGGTTAACGTCAGAGAGTTCATCCTGAAACAGGAGCCCACATAGTCTGAGAGACAGTTATTTACACTGACATAAGTGTCCTAACAGAGCGTTTTCCACAAGCACACAAGTGCTAATTGAGTCTAGGCACCAAACACGTCCTACGGTATTTATTACTAAAAAGCCAACATGGATTAAATCCAGAAAACCTTCACCCATAGTTGATGCAGCCATGCTGTTAATGTCTGGCTCTTTGTACATTTGCGCAGGTCCTCTATATAAAAGCTCGCTATGCTCTAACCATTAGCCTACCTGTGAGCAAACAGCACAAACAAAAATAAGAATCTAATATCAGTCTCACACAGAGCAAATCTACTGCACAGAACACATGAGCAGACAAAGATAGTTAGAAATAAGTACACTGCTGTCACTGGGTATATAAGAAAAACAGCACAAAATCCCCAACACTCAGAGAGAATAATAAAAAATGTCACATTTCTTAATTTAAAAAAAAATTGATGGTGATTCTCACTCTGTCTTTACATTACAAATTCAGGTTGTGATGATCTTGATTTCGTGCTGTAGTCAGAAATGAATCAACTTTACAATACAGTAACATGCAAAGTCATCAAGAACATAGATGTTGAATGCAACCAAAATGCTAAAGTTGGCACTTTCCATATTATGTAAGGCCAAACTATGGGAAAGATGAACAAGATAATTGCTAAAATTAGTCCTGCTTCATTTACATTTCATTCCCTAATTTCCATCTTGAAGCCACATAAGGTTATATATCGTATTTCACAAAATGATGGTTGCATGCAGCAATCTATGTACGTTTTAAGACCACAGTCAGTCAGTAGTGACAGGCCATACAGCACACTACACTTTACTGCTGCTACCATGACGATCATGGTGGGACTGATGGGCTGGGCTACCTCACTGATATCAGTCCAGAGGAAATCCAAAGTGTCCTGGGCACTCTTACCCTCCCCTCTCCTGATGGAATCATCTGCTTCTAGCTGCCCGGATGGAGAGAAACAATGAGCAGCACTGAACATCTAACCGCACTACTTAGTCTGCAGCAACAGACTAAAAACTCAATGTCACGCTGTATCCTTTCTACAAGTATCTAACAGATTCGCAAGCATTATGAACACAGCAAACCCTCCTATATAGGCATTTCTTTAAACCTTGATTGTAACGGTTATGATATTTTATTTTGAGTATGTTTGCTTATGTACTGGATGTGCATTTGTGCTATTGTGTTCTATGTTATATTGTATGTTTTATTAGAGTGTATTGCCGGCTCATTTACATACTGTTTTATGCTGTTTATTGTCCCTGTCCCTAATAAATAAATAAATAAAAATAAGTAAAATAAGATTTACAAAACTGCATCTGTCAAGGTTTGGTTCTATGCTTTCAGTCACCCATATCAACAACCCATCATTTCAAAATAGCTTATCAGCATCTAGCTTTTCTGGATTATCATGCCAAAGTCAGCTTGTGTGTGTAGAACCAATGAAGTAAGTAACAGCCTCCACTTGGGCTAAGTGTAACCTGTGCATGTGAAAGATTAAAAGCCCTGGGCTATACTGGGCTTCCAATGCCAAGTAGATTGCACTATATTTTTAGCTTTGGTTCATAAATTATTGGAAAGTGTTTTATAAGGTGTAGCAGAAGAGCATTTTGTCCTTCAGTCAGCCAAAGAAGAGATGTTTTATTAATATCGCTTTTCAAACAATATTCCACAGGTGCCTCTATAAAAAGACCATGAGCTCTCATTAAAATCAATTTGTTATGGAACAACAGTTAATCCCGAAAGGGATTATGGAGTCACCTTGCACTAAACAAAGTGGAAGGAGGACTGTACTACACAGCTGCCTGTACGTATTAGGGCTGAACAATAGGGAAATTCACATTGCAATATTTCATGAATATTGTGATACCCACATGAACAATCCCCAAATAAAGCTTATTATCACTCTAGTAGAGTGTTTTGAGGGACAATTGAGACATCAATATTCTAGTTATGGCTGTAATAAAAACTATTTTGCAATTATATTGTTAAGGGCTGCAACAAACGTCATACATTTGATCATTAAAATACTTGAAAACAGTAAAGTCATTTCATTAACAGACACGCTTACTACATTTATACATCAGACTCAGTAAGCATCCCTGGTTAGCATCTTAATGCAACTTGCTATGAAAGTAATCATTTATCAGTGATGTTTCATAAGAAAAATCTAAATTAAAAAACAGAATTTGTTCAAAAGTAATAATAATAATAGTAATAATAATAGTAATAATAATAATAGTAATAATAATAAAAATACAAACATTTCTCATGTTTTTCTTATTTTTAGAGAAGATTCAAACAATAAGATAATATAATAGTAAATTGCAGCCCTGTTGCATAGCTGCAGCCCTTACATTGCTACATATTTTGATTTCCATAATACTGATACATTAGTGAATCCTTGATGTGACCTGCAAAAGACTGCCTTATTTTGAGTATATTATGCAAAGGTGACGTTGTTATAACATTTAATGAACAATATATATTATGCCGCTCTAGAATGTGCCATATGGTACAGTTTCTGTATCTCCGTTTGAGTGTCTTCCACCACCTTCCTTTCTCTTTCTCCAAGTCTCAAGCACACTAACCCAGTTTTCACCAGAGAGATGTCTGATGGGAGGCCGTCGCTTGTTTGCAACATGCTATCAATCCCTTTCTTGTTGCCATGGCAGCGCCTACCCACCACTCTCAGCCTGGCATTTTTTTTTTTGTCAACCAACCTGAGGAAAACTGACATTATTACAACGTGGCCTACTTTTCTCAATTTCATAGCCAGCGTTCCAGGGAGAGATAAACAGACGGTATTGGAGACAGTAAATCTGCGAGAAATGTCGAGTCACAGGGGGCACAAAGCACACCCTGTGTCTCCTCAGTGGGAGTCTGCCGGAGGCCTGAGCAACATGAACACTTCTTTGTGTTAGTAAATCTGGGATGCTTCACTACATGGATTAAAGCAACCAAACTCAAACCATCATTGAAAACGACAGTAATTTAAACAGACTATAAATTATGGATGCACTTTGCTAATTCAAATTACACTACGAATTACAGATGAAACCTCATGACTAATAAAAAGCATCAGATAAACTATATGAGCTGGATGGTTTTTAGGGAGTGACTGATAATGCCTTATTGTCAAGGAACATCAGAGCCCAGAATCTCTGACAACCTCATGCTATGCAACTTGACTTAGCTGCTGGCTGGGAAAGACCATGGCACCCCTCCGTCAGACGAGCCATGCCTGCCCACTGCACGGACATTTGCCAAAAAAGTATTTTCAAACTCTAAGACAAATAAGTGCTTTGTATAGTCAAGGCATTCATTGTCAATAGATTGGAATACCACAGTGTATAAGTGCAGGTATTGCCATCACATAGAAATACACAATCTTAATAGAATGACATAATCTTTCAAAAGAGACATAAATAGCCACACCTAAAAAAAACACTCAAGTCAAATTAAAGCAAAGAAAAAAACAAGTATGTTTTCAAACACAAAAGGACAAATATCTTCCAAGCTCAAAGTAATGATTTGAGAACAAAGCACTGTTAGCTAAAAGAACCTTGTGTAACAGTAATCCAGTTTAGATTATATAGCAGCAAATGTGTAAGAACTTTCAGATAGAGGTGCATCATACCATTTAAGCCTCCTCCTTTGTCACCTTAGCCATCAATACCCAGCAGCCCTCAGTCTGCTACTGTAAGCATTATTGTTATAGTTTTGCTTCTAGGAGCTGAAAAATGATCTCTTCTCTACATCAGCTTCTCTCATGAGTGAATCCTTAGGGTCCTCAAGGTCAGGCTATTCAAGGCTCTAAGCTATTGATAATGCCTCTAAATCAATCTGGACCTCTCCTATTCAATGTTATGGGAATCCAGGCACTTGAAGAGAACCAAAAATAGTAAAATAAAAATCTACAGTAGGGCTGTCAATATTGCTTACATTAATAGCGGTCACTATTGCTTGTATTAATAATCAAGTAATCTAACAATAATGTTGACAATGAATTGTGCAAAGAAGAGTTTTTAAGCCAAACAATGAAAACAATGAACTTAATATTTTACTACAAGATTAAAATATGGCAATATAAAATAAGGCAATATAAAATATGGCAACAATTTTTTTTTCTACAATACAATATGAAAGAACATTTTTTCTTTGGGAAACATAGTATACTTTTAACATAGTATACTTTTAAATGAGCATGTGCACTTCTGGCTGTTATGCACATCTTTTATTCAATCCTGGATGATGAAAGTGGCCATGTTCTACAGCATGTATTAATTTACTCCAATTGTATGCATTGCAGATTGCAGTTCCAGAGGCACATGCTGTTGCCATACGGCAACAAATCACAGTCTCCCCCAAAATTATATTTTTCCATGTGTTTTTCATAATTCATGCAGTAAAGGGTTAAGTAAACAAAAACAAAGCATATATAGCCCGTCAAAGATAAAAGTTGAACATTTCTAGCTAAAGAAACTACTTTCCTAAACTACTAGATTATCTTTCTCAAATACGATACACTTTTGAAATGCTCTCAAATACTGAGCTCTACTGCCACATATGTTTTGGCATTTTTTTGCACCTATCAGAGGCCTATAGTTAAATATTACAACTGTCTGATACCTCAGCCTCACAGTTTCTGAAAACATTTGCTTTTTGAATGAGGACACCCTACTACAACTCCATTTCCAAAACGTCAGGACACTGTGCAAAATGAAAATAAAAACAAAATGCAATGATGTGCAAATCATTTCAACCCTATATTTAATCAAATATAGTACAAAGACAACAATATTTAAAAAAATATATAAACCCATTCTGAATCTGATGCCAGCAACATATTCCAAAGAAGTTTGGACAGGGGAATGTTTATCATTCACTACTGTGTTGCATCACCTCTTCTTTAAACAATACTCTGTAAGTGTTCAGAAACTGAGGGGACCGTTTGCTGTAGCTTTAAAAGTGAAATTTTTCCCATTCTTGCTTGATATAGGATTTCAGCTGCTCAACAGTTCAGGGTCTCCTTTGTTGTGTTTTTTGTTTCATAATGCACCCAACATTTTTAAATAGGTGCAGAGTCTGGACTGCAGGCAGGCCAGTTTAGGACCTGGACTCTTACAGTACAGAGCCATGTTGCTGTAATACAGCAGAATGTGGTTTGTTATTGTCTTGCTGAAATAAACAAGGCCTTCCCTGAAAAAGATGTCATAGCAGGATATGTTGCCAAAACCTGTTTATTCCGTTTAGCATTAATGGTGTCTTCATAGATGTCCAAGTCACCCATGCCATGTGCAATTATGCACCCTCATACCATCAAGGATGCTGGCTTTTGAACTGTGCGCTGATAACAACCTGGGTGGTCTTTATCCCAGAGGATGCAGTGTCCATGATTTCCAAAAAGAATTTCAAATGTTGAGTAGTTGGACCACAGGAGACTTTCCACTTCACCTTAGTCTATCTTAAATGAGCTTGGGCCCAGAGAAGGTAGGGGTGTTTCAGGATCCTGTTTATATATGGTTTCTTCTTTGCATGGTAAAGCTTTAACTTGCATTTGTGGATGCAGCGATGAACTGTGCTCACAGACAATGGTTTTCAGAAGTGTTCCTGAGCCCATGCAGTGATTTCAACTACTGGATCGTGTTTGTTTTTAATGTAGTGCCACCTGAAAGCACGAAGATCACAGCCAGCCAATACTGTTTTTTTGTCCCTTGCATACAGAGATTTCTGTGGATTCTCTGAATCTCTTAATTATACTATGTACTGTAAGTGATGAAAACCCCAAGTTCTTTGATATTTTAAGTTGAAAAATGTTATTCTTGAATTTTTGAACTATTTGCTCATGCAGTCTTTCACAGAACCCCTCCCCATCTTTACTTCTGAAAGACTTTTGTTGCCCCGTCTCAACTTTTTTGAAATGTGTTGCTGGCATCAAATTCAAAAATCAACATATGTGTTTCTAAAAACAAATACATTTCTCAGTTTTAACATTTGATAAGTTGCCTTTGTACTATTTTCACTTTTTTTTTTTGGAAACAGGGTTGTACTCTTTAATCACAGTGTAGAAATCAGGTTGTTATACTTACAGCAGTAAAGCAGGCCACACTGTATGAATGGTATACACCTCTTCAACAGTTACTGAACATATATATGGATTATCTCTATGGTTGAGATCAGCCCCTGAATTACAGGGAGCCAGAAGCTCAAGCATGTAATCATGGAATAAGAGTGTTGGCTTGGTGGTTCTCTGGCTTATTTCCTCTCTTGAGAGAAAGGGGTTTGCTTGTGCAAGAAGATGATGACAATATATAAATACTTAATTGAAGTGAATATTCATGAGGGGCTCACGGCACAGTCTTTGTGAGAGGCAGAAAATTCTAGAGAGGGAGGAGTGAAAAAGCAACATTCTTATACAGCCTCTCAGTTACTCTCCGCCTCATTCGCTCTCTGTTTAAGCATGCAGGACAGAACAAGTGGAGCCTCTGCCTCAGAATAAGTTTCCTCCCTGCTGGCACACTGCTGTTTCCCAGTACTTTAACACACGTTCTGCCCGGATCCTTTCAGAAAAGGAAGCTCTGTCAATACAAATGAGCCATGTCGTCATTGCTTTCTTTCCTGGGAGCCCTTCTAATTTCCCAAAAGTGGAGGACAGCATGCTTAGTGTGGTCCATCACTAATAGAACACCATTAATTAGCCTACATTAAGTGAAAGAAATACCACCTGGAAAGCTATGAAGCTTTTAAGAACACACTTTTCAGACAAGTTGTCTCAGTATAATCTTGGCTCATGGTGCAGTTGACAAGTGGTCACTGCTGAGATATACACAGAGATAAATAACTACACAGAAACAGAAGAGAGAACGTGTTTTGCCCACCTTGAGGCTGGTGTTAGAGCGAGGGTGGCTCAGGTCATTGTATCTCCATGTGTCTGTCCCTGGAGTCTCCACACGCTCCCTCTGCAGGTCAGGGGTCATAACATCACCACCCGGCAGCTGGAAGATTCCCAGAGACACAGGCCGCTCTTTCCTGGCACAACAGAAGAAAATAAATGTATATATTCATTTTTTTATTATAAATATTTTCCCCATCTTTTTTAATATTGCTTTTCATTAAATTACTACCTTTTCTTTTGTATTTATCTTTTTATTTTAGTTATGTAACTGTATCCTTTTTATTTACTATACTAATTTTTCTTTTTATTTATATTAGTATTTTTATTTTATTACTTTAAAGTAAAGAACTTTGACATCATCAGTGACCAAAGTCATCAACTGATCTGTCTCTTAAACTTTAAGCTTAATTTAAAGGTTTCTTCACTTTCAACTTAATATTGTTGCGCAGAGCTGGCTTTTGCACTCAACTTGTATCTTCCAAACTGTATTTCCACTGCTGCTTTTATTCTGTGCTCAATACTGGTTGCCGTGGTGAAGTGGTAGCTCTATTCATTGCTGCCTGGACCCCAACATGCTGACTGCACATTCTGCAGGGCTAGGCTACATCCTAGCCAGGTCAACCCACATGAGCCCCATCAGCCTAAGCTCACAATAAAAAAGACTGATGCAGTACGACTGAAATGTGAGGCAGATGAAAGATTAAAATGACGACTCTCAGCCACTCTAAGCTTCTTTAGTTGACTAAGCTCTATACAAGCCCAGAGCTCTGCGTACAAATAAGAGCAGAAAAAACAATAAACCATAAATCACAAACTCATACTAAAGACTACTTATAATAAAGAACACCAGTGAATAGACAGAAATAAAAGTATGATTACAAAGTGTGATGCGGTGAGCATGTCTTTCTTGATGACACATGGCGTGGCTTATATAAACAATGCTGAAGGATAATTCCCATGTAAACTACTGTTCACTAAAGTTAAACTTTCAGGAATAGTTCAACTGTTATACGGTTAACTTTTCTTGTACGAATATGCACACATTTACATAGTTTCAACAGTTTCAAAAGTTGTTGGCTTCCTAAAGCTTTCAAGACTCAATTATTTAAACTAATAACGGCTGAAATACTGAACTCAGTATTTGTTTCCTTCATAGGTGCTTGGAGTAATTAGTGAGGTCTTTTGCAAAAACCTCAGCATCAGTCTTGTTTTCCTCAACCAACTGCATGATCACACCATGGCCAGCTTAGCACAACCAATCAGTATGCAGGTACAGTATCAAAGAGATACAGGCACGCAAAGAGATATAGGCCTAAGTGCACAACAAAGCAGTCTGTTTGGAAAAGAATGGGCAAATTCAAAAGCTGCCGGCAGGGAACAATAACCCTACAAAAACAGCGAGCGGAGAGTCAGGGCACTGCAGGGTCACAAAAAAACACCTCTAGCCCTGCGCTGGAACGTATGGAGTGAAAAGTGGCTGAGTTTGTTGAGGTTTATTTACAGAACTTACAGAAAACAACACTCTGGTCAAACACACTCAGCCCCATTAAAAGCAATGTTGCTGTTTACCACAGACAGAAAGGCATTAGAAATCAGAAACCAAAATATAACACAGGTGATCAAAGAAATGGGGGAAATGCAGAGAAAAAAACAAGCAGATAAAGAGAAATTACAGTGAAGTTGAGGGAAAGAGAGAGGATAAACAGGCCATCTGATGAAAAGGAGAAAGGGAAGATAAAAACTAGGACTGGGATGGTTACTTCAACAACAAAATCAACCAATAAATTTTTTAAATTTTCTCTATGAACCGCAATTACTGGTTGGAAATCTGCATCATGATAATGCATATTTTAAACTGTCCTACTGTTCTCTCTTCGTGATGGACACATCTGATGGACACATGTACTTACATGCATTACTAGCTTGCTTCCTACTTTATCTTCCCCCAGTAAAATACTGTGGAGTTTTAAAAGACTATGCATGGTTTGTTATTGTTCAGTTAAATCCATTTTTACATTCTGCCTTTTTTAAAACTCATTAATCATTAATTTAATGTTTGCCAACAAAACTGACATTGAAAGCCAAAAAAGAAAACATCAATTAAGCATGGAAAATACTAGAATGGCTGATGATACTTTAATGAGAAAAGGCCTTAAAGAAACAGAAACATCAAATAATAAATTGCTAAAAATCAGCCTAAACAAGAAAATCCCCAGATAGAAACATGGCTCCTCTGACACACTCTCTCTCCCTCTCTGCGTACCTGCTGATCCTGGGCAGCGAGTGTGTGATGGCGGGCAGGCCGTTGGAAACAGAGTAATGCACCAGCAGCAGAACGGACAGAGAGACCAGCACGGCCGAGTTGATGACCACTGCTCCCCCAACGAAGCCAAACACAAACAGCAGCATGCAGCCCGGACTCATGGTCGTTGTTACCGTGGGTTACGGGCTGCCCAGCGCCCCCCAAAACGCCAAAACAATCCCATCAGCATCGGCAGCCCTTAGAATACACATCCGCGTGCGCGCTGCCGTGTATGTGTGTGTGGCTCTGCAGCCTCTCAGCACTGTGACATCATCCGCTCTGACACACATACACAAACACGCGCAGCAAACCGGCTTTGCAGCAGCTGTCTCCCACAGCTCGCTGTTTTCACTTTACCCCCTCCCTTTTTCTTTCGAGCACTGCCTTTCACCGTTCAGCTATTCTCTCTCTCTCTCTGCAGTAGCATCAGGCTGACAGCTTATTCCATATGCTTCATCTCTGCTCTACCCACAGCTCCCTCAAAACCTATTGGCTGTGGCACAAGAGAAGAAGGGGGGGGGGCTGTGGGAACTGAATGCAAGTCTGCAGTGCTCTAGTGCTCAGCGAACTCAAAGGAGTAACTACTATTACAAAAATGATCACAGAGACATGCCCGATCATTTATTTATATTTATATATATATATATATATATATATATATATATATATATATATATATATATTTAAATATATATTTAAACGCATACTTCAGTTTGAGCACAGACAAAACAAAACTCAGAACAGATGCTTAATTCTTGTGAATAATGTGTGGTCTTAAAAAAAGCTGTGTAATTCCACACTGGAATTAACTCCTTACACTTTTAGAAAAAAAAGATACTAAACTGTCACTGGGGTGGTACCCTAAAGGGCACATCTTCAGTACGTTAAAGGTGCCATAATCCATTTCAATTATATTTTTAAATTGTATTGATTCCACGTACCCTGTCTTATCTCTGTTTTTATTTTACTGTTCTGTTTTAAAACACTAAAAAAACAAATATGTACCTTTATCTAAAATAACCTAGAGGACAAAGTGGATCTTGAAACCACTGTTGTACTTTTGAGGGGAAAATTAACCTTGTTTGTACCTTGACTCACAAAAAAGCACAGCGTACTAACAATGTACAGTAAGCACTGAATACAGCAAAAATATCTCAGCATCTGTTTTGTAAAAAAGCTGAAATTGAGAAAGGGCACAAACTCTTTTCATAAAACTTAAAAGTGTAATTTGAAGCCCTTTCATTAAACATTTTCAGTGAAAATAATCCCTTAATCCTCTCATTTAACAGATGGACCCTCCCAACGGTCGCGTCTCTCCCCAAATACCAAAAAGGGATTTACAACCATAGCCTCACCACACAGGCCCCCTAGTGGTGTAGACATTGGCGTCTACACTTTAAGAAGTAGCCCTTAACTTAAAAATCACATGCTCTAGCAGTCACGATGCAAAGGGCCTCACACTGGTTAAACAAATGTATCAAAGAGAAACAGAGATAATACAGGCAGTCACAGTTGCAGACCCACAATATTGTCTCAACCTCTGTTGCTGGTAGTAGACACACCATGGCAGTTTACAAACAAGCGTGGATATACGTTCAGACAGGAATTCAAATCAAATTTCAAACTTTGCCTTTGTTCTCTATAGCTTATTAAAATCTACAGTTATGGCCTGTACACAAACACACTGGGCAGTAAAATGGATCAATCTGTGTCATAGGAGAGTTCTGTGTGTCATCCTGTTTTCTATCAGTGTATAAAACAAGCACTATGCAAAAAGGTCATTTGTGATACAAACAAAATAAGAATCCACAAATTTTTGGCTTTGTTCTTCATCATGTTCTTTACATATCAAATAAATGCAACAATAACTTTGGGACATCATGTTAACAACAGATAAGAACAGATAAAACAGCAGAACTAGACACTTTTTGCACTGTCTTTTAAGGGTTGTCAGCTTATGTTTGTTCAATAACATCTAAAGGAAACAAATCTAAATATGACATTTTTCTGCAAAATTTAGTGCAAATTTACATTTTTTGTTACAAAAAACTTAAAATATAAAAATGTGCCATTACTTTTGAACAGACCACATTAGACTTGTTCCCCCACAATATGTTAAAAGCACCAATTAAACAGTAATTGTGCACTACATTGTACAGAGGTGTGTTCTCTGAAGAGGACGCATTCTTCTTTTCATAGGTAATTTGACCGTTGGTGCCTCAACTTTTGCATATAACTGTGTATTCTCATGCTTTCATTTGCATGCTCAACATGATAGTTAATGACAAAAATCTACAATTTCCCAGCTTTCCAGCTAAAAATAGGCACAAAGATAAGATTTAGAAATTGTGTTAGCAGGAAGAGTAAAATAAAAGGTATTTTTCTTTTCACAGCTGCCCTGTATGTTGTGTGAAAAATTCATGATGAACAGACCAACAGAAATGCTCCAGAATCACTTGGAATATCTTACATTAAAATAAAGAACATTTTGCTTTCTCCTGTAAAGTTGCCATTTTGGAGATACTTGTTTTTTTTTCAGACAGTGACGATATACACCTGCAAATACAACATGCATGAGCCCAGCAAGTACAAACACCAAAAAGAACAGCTCCCACAAATTACACTGGAATGAAAGACAAACATGGCTCTGTTGTGATGATTTCACTGCTGTGTCAGTTGTCTCCTGGTTTAGCACTGCCACTCTATTATAGAGCTGCTATGTGAGCTGCTCCACTGCCCTTCACTTCGTTACCATCATCCAGCGGATTTTCTAAATCTGCCACTGCCTCTGCTCTCACTCTCGCTCTCTCTCCAGCTAGCACACACTTGACTGGGGAGAGATGCTGCTGACCTACATTTGGGGAAGTGCGCAGCAGCAGTGGGTGTCTTTGCCTATGTGTGTGCTCTATGAGTCATTTCGGCACAGACCAAGCCTGAAGAGCACTTCACATCAATGTACTAAGTTACAGCTCACTGATGCAATTAAACTGTGATGAAATTACAGTACGTTTTATACAGAGCATGACACTATAAGCATGAGAAAGTACAAATATTCAGCCAAAACATGTTTGTCACAGTTTGATTTAAGCCTATTGGAGGCTATTTTAGTACACTGTCTGCCCCACAAATAAGCTACTGAAAAAAAGAGGAGTCTGGTTTCTTTAAGAGAGCCGCAGGTGACAGAGGAGAGAGACTTTTTCAGTGGGGAAGCACCAATAAGGAATTGTACAGCTGAAGTAAAGCAGGCCAAAACTGTAAACAAGCTGGCTGCTGCCTCATATCTTTGGGCTCTACAGAGCACTATAGTAACTATAGTATAGAATTTTCAACTTAATTAAATTAAATGTAAAGTTTTAATGTGTCGCTCCTTTGCTGTATCTCAGCTGAACTTTGTTGCAAGCTGCTGTTCTGTCTTTCTCTGCTGAAACATGCTTTACATTTTCAGTGTACAATATCTAGGCCTGTCACAACTATTGCATAATCGCCTAAATACATATATTCGAGCTGATCGTGATTATATAAAGGGGAACTCCATCAATTTTTCAAAATGTTTATATAATTCCATTATTGCGATGTAAAAAAAAATCAGATTAGTTTGATGTGAAATGCTTCGTTCTAGAGAAACTTCGAGATTTTACAGTGGTGGTGATAGGAACAAGGAGTTGCCATTTCTACAACACAAATATAGCCATTTTATTCACCATCCCAAACCACCAGTGAACCTACACACGCTTTCTGAGTTTTTATATGTAATGTGCATGGTGGTCAAACAGTGATAAATCTGACAGATATTTTTTTGTTGGGGGGGGCTATTTTGCCTTACAGCACCCTGCATGTACACCTTGTGTACCTAATCGCTTTTAAATAGTACATTTTAGCCAGAATCTCATCTTAAAACTACTGTAATACAATGTGTCAGGCAGCGTATTCATAACCATTTCACGTGGTAACTTTTTGTAAGGGAGCTTTTAGAGGTATTAAACTCTTCAGACGTCTGATTCCAATCACCACCACTGTAAACAATTCTGACTTGATATGTTTCTCCAGAATGGAGTATTTCACACCAAACCACTCTGAATGAATTTGTTTACATTTTCCTGATTTAATAATGCAGAAATTAAAAAAAAATTGGTTGAATTCCTCTTTAAGCTGATCACAATTTTTTTCCACAGTCGTTATCTTTCATAAGCCTATGTTTACGTCACAATAAACAGAAAGAGGATTGGTGTGTATTTTCACCAGTTGGGTTAAAACAAATTCATATGAATGAAAGAAAGCAGAAAACACTTCAAATGCAACACATCAAAGGTCTTGCAAAAACAAAGCAATGGTGCTATAAACATGTTTAGAATGTAGAGGTGAGAAATGCTTGTTTACTTGAAGGTTATTAATGACACATAACCTGAGCTTGAGCTGCGTTTGTCATCACCTAGGAAGCAAGACAGCTAATTTGCCCACTTCAGGCTTATCCTCTGATAGCTGCTTGTAAAGGATAAAAAGATGAAATTGATAATTGCAATTATTTATATGACAATTATTTGCCAGCTAAAATGTCATGATTGTGAAATTTCAGAAAATAACTGGACGTGCGTCAGAGCGCATGCAAACAAAAAAGTGGCATCATGGTTGAAATGATCACCTGTAAACCCAATATTGGATTGACAATATGCAAAAGTTTTTTGTATTTATTGGCAAATAACTAATCAGCTGCAATATACTCATGCAGCAGTATATATCTGACTGTAAACAAGCCTTTTTGAGGTGAGACTCACCTTTGTTTGCTCAAAGTGCCAGTGTCTGTGGCTTCCCCGCCTGCATGTTGCTGCGTTTTGGCACGCTCCAAATGTTCCATGTAACTGTGAATCATCTGTGAAAGTCAAAATTTTTGTCAGTGAACAGTCAGATAAGCCGTGGTGTGTCCATCCTGAGCCGTCCTTATTTAGATAGAGCATCAGAAGACAAAACATTGTAACTAATTAAACGGTTTAAGGGGAGATCAATGTGAAATTCAATTATGTTCAAGATGTAAACAAAGTCAATCAGAGAGGTTTGATAAGAACTGTGCCATTCTATTAAAACTCCCTAAACTGTCCACAGCAGTTGTGATAGGAACTAAATATTTAATACCTTAGAGGCATTTAAGACCTTTAACACCTCCAAAAGCTACCACACATTACACACATTTATGCTTTATGACAAGATTTTGGGCTAAAATGCTTTTTAAAAAGCTATTCAAGGAGGAGAAGTATATGCAAGGCATTGTAGGCAAAATAGTCCCCAAAGAAAACATGTCTTTATATTTTCTGCTATTTTAACTTTATTACATTAACGCTACTTCTAAAAACTCAGAACGCATGTGCAGGTTCACAGATTGTTCTGGAAATCAAATAAAATGTCAATATTTGTGCTGTAGACATCACCTGGGTCCCCTGGTTCCTACACTACTATTGTAAAGAAAATCAAAGTTGGTAAGTTTGCACCATTTCACAACAATACACTCTGACTTACTTCTCAAAGATGGAAAAATGTAGAAATGTTCAACAATCAGCAGAATTCCTTTAAAAACTAGAACTGCAATTTTCCTTTTTTCACAATGCATTAAATGAAAGGCTTCAGTTAATGCATTTCATTCAATGAATTTTCAGCATGCATGCTCTAAATCTTACTATCAGATATTCTCACTGACCGTTCTCATTATTCATTATTGCTCATTGTTGCTGCTGAGCAACCTATAAAGACAATGTACTGAGATGTAATGGTAATAGCAATTAACTACAACAAAAACACACTGTTTATTTTAAAATAATGCAAATGAAATTAAAATTAAGTCATTACAGAATTATTATTATACCCGTTTTTCCTTCATAAACACCCCCACCCCCACACAGATGCATGCGCACACACACACTCACACACACACACACACACACTTCACCTCAGTATGTCTTTGATGGAGGGCGTTGTACTCTTTCTTCAATTCTGCTTCTCGCTCCTCTAATCTTCCAACTGAATAATAAACAGAAACAATTTCTCATTACTTGTCTACCAGTAAACACATTCTGATAATCCCAAATGCTGCTTATACAGGCCAACACAGACCTTTTTCTTTCTTTTTTTTTCTTTTAGATTTTATTTATTTTAGAGATGTGACTCCTTTCAAAGGGATTTATTGGTGATCAAAAGACCAAGACATATGCTGTCAACTACAATTACGTTAACAGTCCACTAGGGGTCTCTGCAGCAACGCAAATCACAGTGCAGTCCTTTATCAACAGTCAATTAACTCTCTAACTACTAAGAATGCCTCGAAATGGGTAATAAGACAGGAGAGGGATATTATCCCATTATTAACCCATTCATGAACTGGCAGATTCAAAATAAGCTTAGGACAGTTCTACCATTGCACTGCCCACAAACTGATACTGGACACTACACTGTTATATGCTTCGTGTACAGATTGTATACACAAGCCTACATTGTGGGAGCTAATAACAGGGCATTTGCAATCCTAGCAATATATGAGGACACGTTATGTCAATAGACTGTTGCTGCGTACACCAGACACTATGTCCACACACACAGAAAACTCCAAGCATTTTTGGAATCTTATTAAAGGAAACAACTGACAAGAGTTCAGTTTGCAGTCCACTCATGTTTTCTCCTTAAAAACATAGCAGACAAGGCTTATATGGGAGCATTTCTCAACTATTCTCTCTCACTTCAAGCACACTGAGGTCAAATAATGAGCATTTCACACTGAGAACCGTTCAGTATCAAATCAGTCCAAAGAAATCCAGTGAACTGCTTTTAATTACATCTGACAAGAGGAGCAAAACAGGGGACTAGGAGAAAGAGAGGTAAAGAAACAACAGTAGAGTCTTTAATTGTGTTGTTACATTTGATCACACTTCTCTCAGTTTATGTTAAACTTTTAAAACAAAGGGAAAGGGGAGACGGGAGTTAGAGGTGGGCAATATGGCAAAAATATAATATTCATATACATAAATTCAAGGAATTTTCACTACGTACAAAGTGTCATGATATTTCTTTTTTCAGACATCTGTTTAGGTGGAACAGAGAAAAAAAATAAACAACAGTGCTACAATAACAATAAAACACAAAAATAAAAAATACAATAAAAAATAAGAAAATGTGAACACTGATTTTTATTCAATATTTAGCATACTGTGTTGCACTAAATCCAATTAAACAGGGCTAATTTTGCTCTCTCTATAACAAATCACAGTCGGTCAGTGTTCTACAAGTATTGACCATATGCACAATATTTTTAGAAAAGCATACTGTACTGTGACATAATTTAGCGACACAGTTACTATTTGAACAGGTAGGTCTTTCAAGCTGAGGAATATTTTTGAACTGTACACAAAAGGGGGCTGTAGGCAGTTAGCTCCAAAAGACAGACTTACTAAAAATGTATTACACAGCTAAAAACAGTGGTGTTCTTGGGAAGATCATAGAACACCTACAATGATGTACCATATTGAATCTGCAATAAGACAGACAACTGTTTCTTCCATGTTCTCCAAGTGAAAGTGTGATGCATGGCTGTTTACTTCATATACATATTACGACTGCATCTCAGTGCATTAATGGAGATTTTTAATGTGTGCGCAGTGTATGAATACCAAATATTTTAAAATGTGCCTCATCCAATCTGATAAAAGAATCGGTTTCCCAGTTGATATTTTGATGGGTCGCGTACTTTTAGGCTTGCCAGTTAACAAATAATCATCGACTAATGATGACTGATTATCGGTCAAAAGAATTTACCACAATTTGTATCCGTAGCTGGAATCTATTAGAAGTCATGAGAGTAGATGTCAAAAGAGAAAACTGAGACAGAAGAGCCCATGCTACATTTTATGATTCCAGTATACTTTGGAGAACTGCTAATGTGTTGTGGTTAAAGACTGGTCGGTCTGCATTACATGATTTACATTTGTTGGGTTATGTGATTCATCCAAGCATCCGTGAACGGTGTGCTCACAACACACAACATTCGGTGATTAGTTAAGGATGCCTGCTTAGATACTGCAGTCTTCTGCAATATCAGTATAAGACCAATACTGCCATAATGATCAACAATTACTGTAATGCCCTCATCTATACTCTGAGTATCATGATTAGAGCGGCTGTTACATCAACAGGTTGCACAGTACACAGAAACAGTAAAATTAAACAGTCTTCCAAAAATGGTCTAGTAATGAGACACAAAGGTGACTAAAAGGCTTTGAGACAAAGAACTACAAGAGGTTTGCACTGGGTCACTGGAACAGCAAAACAGCTGTTCTTTATCAAACACATTAAACATATTCATTTCACTCATGAGAAATGTTTTCATCTGTAGAGAACATTTAAAGAATTGACTAAATGGATAGATGTGTCATTTGCTCAGAGCAGTTACGTAATGCGCCGCCCACCTAGAGTGCAGCTTAGCAGTAAACACAGTCACCCGCCCATCATGTGGGGGAGTTCAGCAGTCCTGCAGGTATTATCCAGTTCAGCAGCACTCAGTCAGCACACAACACCGGACAGAGATCGTTCAGCAATGTGAATTAACTAAAGTGTCAAACCAAGGGAATAAATAAAACCAAGGGCAACATAAAAAAAGAACAATAAAGAGCGCATCAGACATCAAACAGATATCTTAATGTTACCTTCAGCATTCAGTATTCAAGATGAGTGTCTACAGGTCAAAGGTTCAAAGTCAGTGTCTTAGGTGACCGGGGAAACCTGGCTGTGAAGTGAAATACTCACTCTGGTCTGCATAGTTCTTGGTCTTGAGCTCCAGCTGTCTGGTCTGGGCCTCCAGCAGAACCACCCTGCTTTGCAGCTCTTTCCTCTCCTGCTCCTGTGAGTCTTCATATTCAATATATCTCTATACAAACAAAACAACAAAGCGCATCTCAGTTTCAACACTCAATACTAGGCATGCAAAATGCATCTGAACAACCTCACAAAGATCCAAATAGATAACAAATATTCAGGAAATATTTTTCACACCAACTTGATTTGATTAGTTTCGTATGATTCAGGACTATGATTAAAAATACAGTGAACACACAAAGTCACTAGAAGAACCATTAAGCAGAATATAGACAATAACTGCATTTTAATGTTTAAAAATAGCCCAAGAACAGAGGATATTATTGGGTATCACTTAAAACTACCTTGAAAAAGTGTTTATGAACGGTTTAAAATTAGTTTATTAATAATTAATAATTGGGTTATAAACACCTTAAAAATCATTAATAAGCAGTTATAACATATAAAGAAAAAGGGCAACAGTGACCTGTTGCTTGCCAAATACTGAGCCCACATTCATCTACACTGTTGAACCTCAGATTTTGCTGGTTACTTATCTTACTTTGTCTTCTCCTTCAGACAGCATTAGGTATACCTGCCAGCTTCATAAGATATTCATGTTCAATATACAGCTCACTACTGCCCTTTATTTATTTATGTGTCATACCTGCTTATTAATGCTGAAGGTGTTTTGAAGGTATGACCTGCTTAATCAGATGAACAAATAGCTATTCAATATGTTTAACCTCTTATTCACCAGGGTATATTTTGGTTTTTCCCATCTCAATTTACATGACCAAATTGAAAGGCAAATTATTCAGTAACTTCATGAAATAAATGTACATTTTTATTTTATTTATTTATTCCCCTCAAATTAACAGAACATGTGTTTTATGATCATACACATACTACTATATGCTTACAATTCACTGCTCAAAGCCAAAAATCGTAGATGCTCTTTGTATTATTTTATAAAAAATCATTTTTACAGAGTAGTTCACTGAAGAGACAGCATCTGTTTATAGTTTATAGCCCAGATTTGTGGAAAAATGGGTCAAATTTCAGTAGACCAAAAAAATTATGAGTTCAGCTTCTTTTATTATAAGGGTTTAAAATTACATTACCCATTGATTTGACTGGAAAGAAGACAGTTACAGCTCTCACATGACACCCACCTTTTGAATGTAGCTTATGAAATACGAAAGTTATGAAGAATATGATGAAGTGCGTTTTGGAACCACGGGTGGTCTCAAGGAGATGAAAAGGTTAAAGGACTAAATAAATAAAATAAAGCAAGAAATGCTATGTGTTCTCAGGCCCATATCACTGATTTTGTTGGTGTGGTTAGTTGGTGACTCTGTTGGTGACTCTGTTGGTGACTCTGATGTTATGTACTCTCAGTGAAGCACTTATTTGCAGTGAAAACAATAGGGGTTTGCAGCTTGTATTCCATTCTCAAACTAGGGGAATTGGCTACCAACCAATAATTTTGAGACCTTGTAATCCAGTTTTGGTCCAACACCTCTAAACAGTAGAACTGCTGAGAAGATTTGTTAAAACAACTAAAAATGCCTCTTGTTTAGGACCACACAAAATGTGTGAATGAGGAAAGAAAACAACATAGCACATAGATGGTGACTAATCATGAAGTAACAGTCTCTCTCAGTCAGAATGACATCTTTGGTGGCGTGGGTTTAGCTGAATGCTAACAGCTGCCTGTGGACTTCACCACGGCCGCGTCAGGTTTCAGAGTGAGTCAGCGCAGGCGTTAGCCTAACATATTCAGGCCTGCTGAAGCTTTCTGACCAAACCAAACACTTGGGCGTGAGCAGTCAAAGGTAAAGCAGAAGCCACAGAGAGAAGCTGTAGTCAAGATTTTCGCTTGTAGCCAACGGCTAATACACCATGTCCTCACCTCTATTGTTAGATATCAGCCAAACCCACCTGCTTTGCAGGTACAGTGTGCCAACGTCGGCAGCTACTTCATACTCAATCTTGTGCAAACCTAGACACATTTGTAAGCAATGAAGGAACAATTTTACTAAGAGCAACTAAGCACTGATAAATAATAACCATTAGCAGATGGTTCTGACTACAAATGGGCTAATTAAACTCTGTAAATCACAACGGTTTGAGGAGAATGCTGTATGTTTTACCAGAGCTGGCAAAAACTTACTTTAAAAAGGACAGACGCTCTGATCTGAGTAAGTGGCAATCATGAATCATCAAATAACCCTTACATGAAATGCTGCCTAAAACAACTGTACACTGATGTCAGTCTAACCAAACCCTGCATTAAAACGCTAAAATTGACAACACTTACCTGCCCTTCTCACGTTCTCACAACTATTTTACATAAATCCCTGCAGGTGCCCTAGTTTTTATTAGGGGTGTAACACATATTTGGCCCATGATTCGATTCTGGATACTGGGTTCATGAGATCAATATTCCCGCAATATTTTGAACAATATTCGAATGAACAAAATTGATGACTGTGTCCATGCTCTTGCACTCACGACTAATGAAAGTGCTGGTGTGAGTTGTTGACTGTTGCTGGTTATTTGCGAGCTTTGGTGCTCAAACAATGCAGCTGCATTAAATGCCAGAATTAACAGAATGACTGTTATCCATGATGCACCGTGCTGTCACATCTACACATTTCCACAATGCACACTGTCACTATTTTGCATCATAATGTCACAAAGCACTGTTACACCCCTAGTATTTATTGCAGGCTGTGCACAAAGATGATTCAAACCAGAATCTGTGCACACAGGACCAAACATACGAATGCTGTGTGTGCACCTCCATGTATTCATTCAGCCCACAAAGTGCAAGTATAATGTTGCTGACTTGTTGTCTATTGCTTTAAAAAATAAAAAATTAGCTTTTGGCAAATAAAAATTGGCAAAACAGTGGTTACTGGCCAATTTGGCTTTAAAAAATCAGAATTAGACTTAGAAATTAATGACTGGTGCACAAATACAGAACGCAGATTCCTCAGATATTTCTCTATAATTAAGTGAACTACTAAAATATATTTGCATTAGTGAATCTGTGCACTTACGTTCTTGCAAAATACTCATTACCTATTCCCAAGACAAATTATATGCATAATAAGCAATCTGAAAGCACTTGAACAACTGTACTTTTAAACAAGGTACATCCTGATACCATCGCAGTAGGGCAGCTGATTCAGGCATTGTTATCACCTGAAAATCAGGGCCATGACAATATCAACAGAGTAATAATAAGCGCATTCTTCAGTTTATTCGGTTTAGTTAATGGTAGAAGGCTTTTCTTGCCATAAGCAATGTAACTTCAAAGCAGTGTGACGCACATTAAGCGTTTGTGTGAGGCGTCTTATGATCATGAAACTCACAGTCACTCATATCCACAAGCACAGGCTCTGTGGCTCTTATGCCTTTGGCTACTAGGGCACAGTGCTGATCCTGTGCCATATGGAGTTCACAGCAGGGGAAAAGAAATCACACAAAAAAGCGATCAAAACCACTAAAACCTTTCACAAATCAATTCAAAAACAGAATCAGTCATGGCAGAACTGGCACGTGAGCAACCCTTGGAGTATTTCACTGCACAGCAGCTGCCAAATTCTCTGAGTGACCTCCATGTGTCATAAGTGAGTGGGTAGAAACTGATTTCATAAGTTTTAAACCACAGATCATATGCTGAAATTAGAGCCTTCAGCTTCCAGTGCTGTGTATTTTCACGTGTGTCATGGCGCAGCAGCACAGTGTGTCTGAATTTTTTTCCTCAGTGTAGAAGATTAAGGCGTGTAATGAGCAAGACTGGTCATGAAAGGCACTGACTTAGTACTGTAGCAACTGACCGTACAAAAATCTAATAAGAGCATTACCACTGTGTGAGGCCATGTGGTGGGGGTCTTATTCTTAAAGACATGTGCCGAGATTTAAGTACCAATCAGTACAGCTAAAACAGTGCCTCAGTTACCAAAGGATTAGGTCACACAAGGTCACAGAGTTTACAGACGGACCACATCGTAAAAGTACTGTACTTTTTAGTAGAGCCAATGCTATTAATCAAAAGCTTTTTCTGTTAAAAACTGGCCTACAAGTTATAAATGGTATTAATGAAAAGCCTTGCCACTGTTCTAGCATAAAAAAATTGGCCTGCAAGTTACAAATGACACGGGTAGACAAATCTACATTGGCCACCAAGCCAGTGAATCTTAAGATATTAAGAATTTGTAGCCAGAATAGTAAAAACATATACATAGTTTATACATAGTTAAACATAGTTTATAACATATGTATATTGTATTTAAAATGAACAGGCATGCTTCAGTACAAAAAACAAGTCAGGTGTTAATTAGAAAATATAACTATTCATTAAAAATTTTACATTAATAAAACTGCTGTGGTGCCCGTGGTGGTCCCCCATACTGAGCTGACACACCCTGACGTTCTCCAATCTAGGCTGCCATTCAGGTTAACATCAGCTTATTTTATACTTTATTTTATCTAAGACCATTTTTCATAGAGTTGCCATCGTATTTATCCAACGGATCAGCATCTGTGATGCCAGGCGGACGAGCTCAGCAGGGGGGACCATCATGGTCACCATACCATTACATTAGCTATCGCAGTGGTTACAATTAAAAAGAAAATTGAGACAAAATTTAATTTGATGCAATTAGTTCTGTCCCCAGCCAAAAATGTTCATTAAGGGGAAGCAAAGCACAAGGAAAATGGTCAGTCGGGCCACTGGCTCTGCATTTTTAGTGGCCAAAATATGAAATGTTGTGGCCATGAGTGCCGAACAGTAGGCTACGTTTACTCTTGAAATGGTATTAATCAAAAGCCTTGCTGTTGCTACAGTAAAATAAAAGTGGCCTGCAAGTTACAAATGGTATTGATTAAAATCTTTGCTGTTGTTATAGCACTAAAATAGTACTAACTGGCCTACAGGTTATAGAAATGACTGGATGACTGGATATCGGACATAATACACATACTATTTCAACTGCTTGTTTACTTAAAACAGTTTGCAGACCTGAGCACTGCAATCACAGTGCAGAAAGTCTAAAAATC